TTTTTTTTCTCCTAGGCGTGGTCATACATTTAACTCATTACTTGCATATCATTATCATTCATATGCAATTAACATAATAGCATTATAGGTATGTTAACATACTTTATGACTTGAGGTTGCTAAGCATGGCCTCATTGTCTCGTATACTTTACTTTCATTACATAGCATATTTACATCCATAAATATTATTTACTTTAAACACTTAGTAGCGTTTTCAAAATACATGGTGCATCCATTACTAAATTACCCACACCCCACTGCTTCATCCTTTCTGTACGTCCATCAACAAGTTTCAGAAAGCCGGTGCCTTACCCGAGCTTCCTACAACACGAATAAACGGAATGAGCTTTCGCTCAACAAGTAACAGCAGACCATAATAAGTGTAAACAATAATGCATACTCATATATGCATTCACGTCATACATCCTAACACATTTTCTAAACATTATAGCATTTATCATATTATGCTTTCTTTTCTTTCATTTTATACTTTTTTCTCACTTTCGTTCTTGAGTCGTTCTTTTCTTTTTAATAACTTTTACTTCTAATGGGCCTCGTTCCTGTTGTACCGTTACGTGCATAATTAATGAGAAGTGGGGTAGCGACCCAAACCAACCCACCCTTGTGAAGGCCGGTATAAACAGTTTTATTAACTTCTTTTCATTAATCATCTTTACTTCATTCATCATCTTATTGTCATCTTTTCTTATCAGTAATTTTAATCTTATCATTGCGTCGTAAGCATTTCTGTCAAATTCTTATGAAATTTGACTTCATTGAAAAGTTTGACTTTTTGTTCACTTTTACTTTTGACTTTTTCAAAGATTAAAATTTTACTGCTACTCTAAGTCTATAAGTACATACATCGCAACAAATAAGATTCAAGAAACATCTTTCATATATTAGCATACATTGAACTTACAATATGCACAATTCTATGCAACATCAAGAAATAAGCTTATTCGTATCATAGACAAAAGAACTACTGATACTTACAAGAGTTTTGCTAAGGTCATGACTTTCGAGTCACCAAAAACCTTACTGCCTTGATCACCTACTGATCCTATCATATAAATTCTCGATCGTTAGATTTACAATCTAAGACCAGTAATTACAATACAATTTGACTAGAATTCGTTGTTCCGTAAATGTTATTTTCATGAAGTGCACATGTCGTGTCTAAAATCCTTAAGTTTCATGTTTATTTCATAAACCTATTTAATTTTCCATTTATTCTTTAACCGTGATGTTTTGCACCTACATACAGTTGACCTTAGGAGAATACTGTACAACTAGTTTCTCGAAAAGCATTCTTCACGGGACTTCTTATCCTCGAAAAGGTCTATAATTTTCATGTGCGGTATCCGGACCGAAACATATCCTATATCACCAATGTGCAGCAAACCCGTGCATATTTGGCCTAAAATCACAATTTTAAACATGTTTCGAAAATCAGCCCGAAATTGACGTCTAGGGTCGTTTTTAGAAAAGAAAGTTATTTCACAAAAGTTGTTCGGAACGAAATTTCGTACAACTTTGATGTTGGTCACTTATTAAAATTAAGCTACTATCTTTGTCCTCTAGCCTAAACGGATTAGGCACAAGTTTGAGTCATTACCTAGTTTTCGATTTTGGTCCGAAACTGAGAATTTTCATCGTTTTAAGTTTCCACACATCTTCGACCACCGAATCAACTTATTTTACACATCCCATTTCTCTTACTCTTCATTATAACCAATATTGGTTCACATTTTTCAAATTAAATTTCGGCAGAATTCCGCCTAATTTTTTATATTTTCCGAGCTAACCATAGCTCATTTTATCCGTTGTTTCAACGTCACAACCTTTCTCATTCCCTTTATCATCATAAATAGCAGACACTAGGATTTCATCATCATTTTCACAAGAATTTTCCATAAGCAAAAACACTAAACACATAACCTAATAACCAAAAATCTATCATTTAGTCATTAGGTTTTTTGATACCTTTAATAACCATAAGCAAATCATCCCTAACAAAAAAATTTTCATCTTTTCTAGTGTTCATGGGCGTGCAACTATGGTAGAAAATGAGAAGAAAAATTAAAATTTTACCTTAGAGGAATGTAAAGAAAGCTCCAGTAACACTAATCAACGGTGGTTTTTCACCGATTTCGATTTGAACTTGTTTTTCTTACTTTGGGAAATTTTTCTCTCTTTGGTTGAGTATTCTCTAGTTTTCTTGCATGAAAAATGAACATTTTGTTTGCATTTTTCCCCTTAAAATCTGGTTCTAAAGTGATGGGGATATGCGTGGAATTTTGACATTTTCTAAGGTCCTTTTTGCAAAAAAATTTAAAAAATCAAAATATCTACTTTGCTTCTTCCCTGAGGTTAGCTGGTCATATCCTTCCCTTCCAAGAGTCCTAATCTCAGCCATCCATCCATTTAATCACTTTAAATCTTAACCATTCACTTTTAATAATTATCTTATTTCAATTCAGTTTAATTCCCATCCATTGAACGTTTTATGTGCGTTTTTCAGACAATTAGTCACTTGGTCAACTTTATTCAACCTTGACTAACTTTTCAAGAGTGACCTATTAGTTGACTCTTTGTCAATAAATTGTGACTTAGTCAACCCTAATCGGTCAAAACATTCCGTACCACTTTTTCGTCCATTCTTCGTTCTGATTGTTTCGAAAATCCTAGAATTGATGTTTTTCAATTCTTTTTCATTTCTTAATCTTAATATTCATGTGTTTACCCACTTGTAGGAATAACACAACGTTTCATGTTTTTCTTAATTACAGTCCGAAATTCGGTAATATTCATAATTTTCTGACTTTTAGCTTATAATTTTGCTATTTAATATCAATATCAACAAATACATATCATAAAAGTATTCATATTTATAATACATAGAATTTTAAAAAATTTTATCTTTTATAATAATTTCTTTGACAAATTTCCCTGTCATGACAATCACCCCTCCTTATAAATTTGCGTCGTCAAAAATCAAAACAAATAGGGATATTTCTCACTCATCTCATCTTCACATTCCCATGTTGCTTCTTTCACTTCTTGATTTCTCCACACAATTTTAACAAGTGGAATACTTCGATTTCTAAGATGTTTCTATTATCGTGCAAGAATCTTAATTTTAAGTGGAATACTTCGATTTCTAAGATGTTTCTATTATCGTGCAAGAATCTGCACTGGTTGTTCCTCATAAGACAAGTCTTCGTGAATCTGGATCGGTTCATGTTTTATAACATGGGATGGATCTGGTATATACCTCTTTAACATTAAGACATGAAATACATCATCTACCACTAATTCTAGTGGTAAAACTAGTCTGTAGGCTACTTTTCCTATTCATTCAATAATCTGGAAATGTCTTATATATCTCGGGTCTCGACCTTAGTTTGCCCTTCTTGCTAAAACACACAACACCTTTGCAATCTTTAAAAAAATTGAATCCCCTTCATTAAACTTTAAAGGTCTTCTGTACTTATCAGCATAGCTTTTCTGACGGTCTTTTGTCGTCTTCATTCTTTTTGGATTTTCTAAATTGATTCAACCGCCTCTTGAATGAATTTTGTCTTGTGTAGTGGCTTCTCCCTAGTTTCATACCAATGAATGGGAGATTTGCACTTTCTTTCGTACAAGGCACATCATCACGGATTGCTACCACTGGAGATAATTGTGGCCATTGAGTTTGTGACCGGTGATGAGAATAGATGAGCCTTCTGCTCCCCCATGATGATTGCTCGCCGATGCCACTTTGGGACTGGAATTTACTTTCGATGTTGAACTTGATCTCTAGGTAGTCATACCGTGGTCATAAGGAAGAATTAGGTTACAGAGGCCGGAGGTGGCTGCGACTCTAGCACTTCAGGCGGCGCTGAATGAGTGTTTCGATGAGCACAGAGGTGAGATGAGATAGTCGGTAAAAGAGTTCCTAATGGCTTTGATACCATGTAGGGTTTTAAGAGAATGAATTGCTCTATTTTCTCTTATTCCTTTAGAATGAAATAGGTACATAATATATACAAAAGAACTTTCCTTAAATAAAGATCCTAGGCTAGAGAAAACAAGGAAACAATCTCCACTAGACTAGGAAACAATGACAAGAAATCTGGTAATATATTATCGGATTCTTCTGCTAAAAACATTCCAAAAATAAACAATTGTTGAAATCACTAACTAATTGAATGCTGTAGTTCAACAAACACAAATCATTACACACATAAAATTTCAAAAATTCACATATATCGATCAGATAAGAGGAGATTACTTGCTAGAGTTGTTGAAATCGGAGAGATATCCAAACCATTACAAACAAAGAACTCATGTTTTAGGTCAAAGCCTCCCCCTTCTTGTTGGTCGTAGACATTCCTAGTGCTCACTATAGAATGATTTGTAATTTTTTTTATACATAACTACTATAGAATGATATTAATTGCTAATGAGGTTGTCCAAAAGAGAACACTTCTTAGAAAAAAGAAAAGAGAAGAGATAAAAGAGATACTAATAAAACTACTAGTCATATGGCATAGCATATGCATGTGCTAATTTATCGTTTGAAGCATGCATGCTCTTTTTGTATATCGTTTTGTCAAGATCCAAAATTTTCAATTCAAAATCTTCAATCTTTATTTAAATAAATTAGATAAAGATAAGCAACAAGCAACATAATCCAATAACATGGTAAAATGGTAAATACAATCATAAACTAAATTGAAGCAACAATTTAAACCTAGAACAAACAACAATCACTACAATAAAAAACATAAGAGAAGAGACAAAACAAACCTTAAGGGCTGAGTGGGAAATGCTACGACAGAATCCATAAACCCAACGAAAAAACAATCCAACAACAAGAAGAGCAAATCGAGTGGAGAGGAATAGAATGCAAAAGAACAAGGAAGAACCGCATAGAAAGAGAAGTGGAGAGGCAGAAAAGCTCTCAAGTTTTAGGATGCATTCATGAACAAAGAGAAATCAAGGAGCGACAGAATCTTACAAACAACAACCTAGACAAGAGGCAACGAAGGGAGCAAGAATGCAAAGAAAACAATATGATAGAGTAAGGACTACAATGTACAAACGTGAAAACGCCACCAAATGTTAAAATGTATGGCATGTAATATGAAAGAATACGGAGACAAAAACATTTGCACGAATTGGACGCAATAGATCCCGAGAAACCTGTTCACCCTTATATGAACATATGGATAAATACACCATTGGAAGAGCCACATCCCAATATATGTACTTTCAAAGAGTGGTACCATTTAGAACTAAACCAAATATTCGATACAAATGGTTCAATTATTACCAAAAACAAAAGAGAATTGTTAAAATCAACAACTTTTATGTCCTTAAAAGCATGAGCATAATTTAAATTTTTTCCTTTAAAGGCTCCTGACAGAAGTGAAGATAGATAAATATTGGTGCAACGGATAAATGTGGCAAATACAATATATAACATAAACATGAGTAGAATTCAAGAAACAAAGAATAAGTGGGAAAGAAAAGGGTACCTTATTTAGTATGTTGCTTTTTATCAAAAACCGCCACAAGAGCATAACAAAAAAAAAAATTCACAATTTAGATAAGTTAAAACTTTGCATTGTTTGTTCAGCTGCTATATGGGAATCCATAAATAACATAAAAAAATAAGAACCCTGAACTGAATAATGCAAAATATGTCAAATAAAAATTTAGTCCATTTCTCAACAATCGAAATAATAGAACCAAAACACAAAATAAAAAAGCCTTCAACTTCAAAATTTAAAGAAGAAGAAGAAGAAGAAGAAGAAGAAGAAACACTAATAAAAAAGTCAAATAGCAGTTCAACTTCAAAATTTAAAGAAGAAAGCGCCAAGCAAACATCTTTACGTTCATGTCCATCTAACACCATTGACTTGTAGGTTGTGAAGAATGTTCCATCTAACCGAGTCAGAAAATGTGTACCTTTGTTTAATTGAGATCACCAAGTCAATCGATCTTTTGGGTCTCCTTGACTATATTCCCTTGCAGTTCTATGTGCGGTGAAAAAGAGAAAAAAAACTGCAGAAAATGAATCAAAGCCCACACATGGTTAAAGCATTACGTTACACAACACAAATACTAATATATCTTTCCAAAACCCATTTCAATTTGTATTGTTGTCACAATAACAATTAAAATGAAAGTAAAATGTTAAGGAACAAATAGAGAAATAAAAACTAAATACATATGAATGTGATCTTTTATTTTGAGTGCATACAACTAAAATTATAAATTGATTCACAACTTCAAATCATTTATTTATCTTCTTTGAATTTACCTCGAACATTTGTCCTAAACCAAGTACATAGAGTAGCAAACTTTGACCCACGACTGCTTCCATCCTCCAAAAGAAAGCCTCCTACAAAAGGATCCCTAGACAACTAAAGAAACAAGATCCATGACAGGGAAAAAAATCATCTCTTGCCAAAACAATATTGGTAACTAAATAACAAACCCAAAATGCAATAATAGAACCTAACAAAGCAACTTCTAAACTGGCTGTAGTTTAGAATCCATAAATGATTCAGAAAGGAAACCCCATAATGAAAACATCCATATAAATGTATTGTTAACAAGGAAACAAAAGATATTTTAGAAAGAACTACAACCCAATCTATTTTAGATAAAATCCTCCTATTATATTGCTTTTAGTTTAGATATAGTTCGTTTTCTCTTTCCTAATTTTTTTTTTCTTTTTTTCCTTCCATCATGAATCAAAACCTTCATTAAACCAAATTTTTCTAGACAAGGCAAACAAATGATCGTGCCTACCATAAACAAAATAAAAATGTATGTAGAATATTTTATCATAGTTTATAATAGTTGAGAGAAACCCAAATCTTTCAATTGATTTTTTTTTCCACTTTCTCAAGAACCAAACATATGACCCCAAAAAAAAATGATTAAGAAGTACAGTTCATTACCGAAATGTAGTCGTCGACAACATCAATCGAGTCAATGGACCCTAGACTTTTCAGGAATCCACAGCCCAAAAATCCACCTAGAAAAAAAATCATAATAGGAGAAAAGGCTTTTCAGGAATCCACAGCCCAAAAATCCACCTGGAAAAAAAAATCATAATAGGAGAAAAGTTAAAGGCAAAGAAATCTGATAAAAAAAACAGAGAAATCCTAGGGTTGAATAGGGGAATCTCAACAAAGAAAACATAGAAACAGGGAAGAGGAAAAAGCAAAGAACGAGACAGGGAGATACCAGGGAAGTTGACGATGAAGCATGAAAGAGGGCAACCAAAAAACCAAAGCGAAAACCAAATCTGAAATCCCCATCAAATAAAACCCAAACCTATAATAAACAAAATCCCCAAAACAAAATAAAATAAAAGCGTAAGAAAAGAAAAGAGGAGAGCAAACCAGAGAGAAAAATCCCAACTCTAAGCATGAGGAGAGAAGTAGATCCACAGAAACCATGTGAATGGCAAAACAACCTAGCTACCAAGAAGATGAGAATTAATTGGAGGAAAAAAAAAAGGAAACGGGAGAAGAAAAGGAAGAAGCATCAAAGAACAAACCCAGCGGAGTGAGCGAGGGAGGCTGTGGAAGACAAAGCAGAGGTTAAAAAATAAAAATAAAAAAATAAATAAAAAAAGCAACGTTGAAGCTTGGTTCGACTAAAATGATCGTTTCAACCAAAATGAGCGTTTTGACCAAAACGAGCGTTTTGGTCGAAAATAGTATGGTTTTTAAAATTTCTGTATTAGTTATAGATAACTTAAAGGCTTGTTCTTTTAGATTAAAACTCAAAAAAAATTTGAACTCAAGTTACAATTTTATTTAAGTTCATGTTCTTTTGTAAAATTTGAGTTTAAACTTAAATTTGAACTTAAGTTTAAACTCGAGCTTGAACCTGAGTTTGGGACTAAAATCTGAGTTCAAGTTCCCCATTTAACTCGAGTTCTTAAACTCAAACTCAAGTTAATGAACAGTATTTTTTTTATTCTTTAAAACACCGTAACTTTTTCGTTTTAATTCCGAATGAGATGCTTTTTTTATGCGTTCACAATGAAGAGACGAATAAAACTCTATCCATATACCCTATTAAAATTTTCCATCATCATTGATTTTTTATTAAAATACTATTTAAATACAAATTCAAGTTTTGACCCACCCAAACACAAACTCAAATAGATTCTCAATTCAAACCAAAACTCAAATGTGCACATCCAAACACAAACTTAAGTTACAACTTCAACTCAAGTTATAACTCAAATTCAATTCAAGATCTACACTCAAGTCACCATAACTCAAAAATGCAACCGAACAAGCCCTTAGCTTTCTATTCTATGACTTGAACATAAGCCCTCTCCTTTGCAACCCATATGGCCTTTACCTCCTTCGTTTCTAAAAGGGACTAAGATTGAAATTGCTTATCAATAGATAAGCAATTTCCAAACACTAGAAAACGCAAAGAGACTGAGATTTGCAAATGATATCTTACAATTCAAGCCAAAACTAGTCTGTCATTGCCAATTCTTCTGTCTCTTCTACCAACATTTTTATGGAGCTATGCATTTGTTGCTGCTTCAATTTAGAATCTTCCAACCTCTGCCTCTAAACAGAGATATATTGAGTGTAAGTTTCCAAGTATAATAGATACAATCCAATTTTACCTCTTATACTCTTATATAATGAAAAGAAAAGTAAAAGCTAAACAACAAAGAAGAGAATGCCTTACAAAACCTGAAACCTCTTCATGTAACAAATTTAGTTCGGAGTTCGAAGTATTCAACTTTTCGGACAAAACTTCTAATTCAGAAGCCAAATATTCACTTCTAGACAAAATATCTTACTTTCTCTGGCATACAGCTGATAATTGATCTTCTAGAGAAGCAATCTTTGTTTCCATTTCAAATGCATACTGCAAATGAAGAGTTAAACTTTTAAACATCCCTGAGTCAAGAGTTCAATGTCAGCAGAAACAAGGATACAAAATGGGCTCTATTTTCTGCAGATATCTGATAGAAACAAGCAAACCAAAAAATTAAGATTAATCCCATGCAGCAATACTTCAAAAAATACATGAGAAAATTAAGACTACGTCGTCTCCTTTCCTCAACTCATCATGGTAAAAACGAGGAAAAGAAGGGGAAAAAAAGAAAGAATAAATATTTACTTTTAGAAAATGGAAGGGAAAACATCATTGGAGCTTTATTGTACTCTTTAATTGTCTTTAGAAAAAAAAAAAAAAAAAGAACAAAAACCGACCAAAAAATGCGAATACCTCAAAGATAATACTCAGAATCAAAAGAACTAATAAAAGTAGTTCCTTTTTCCATTTAAACTTCTTTTTATTAATTTCACAACCAATACCTCTATCAAACCAAAAATTTCTCCAACCTGAGCGAGGAAACAGAATACACAAAGAAAAACTATATTGCAACTTTGACATTAAAAGGAGAATCTCCATTGTGATTGTAGTCATCAATTTGCTCTATAAAAGAAGCAGAGATATGACCTTACAAACAGAACCAAATCCTCCTTGCCCAAGTTTAATTGTGATGTGAAAATATTAGGCAGTAGTTAATATGTCGACCAAGTTGGTAAAGTTGAAGCTAAGTTGGTCCGTGCTTTCCTATGTGGATTTTGCACCTACTTTTGCTCTCTTGCAAGTTTAAGCACCACGATATTCTCTCTATATCATCTAGAGAAAACTGATTCATTTAATTGAAAGAAGTAAAGTTTTAGCTAATTCATTTGATTTTAGGTGGTAATTTTCCTGGGCAAGGTCATGACGCATTTGTAAAAGTTTTAAAGGGCAAAGTTCAAACTGATTCATTTAATTGAAAGAAGCAAAGTTTTAGCTAATTCATTTGATTTTAGGTGGTAATTTTCCTGGGCAAGGTCATGACGCATTTGTGAAAGTTTTAAAGGGCAAAGTTCAAACTCAAGGATTTACATGATTATAGATTCAGAGAATGTGTACATTTGTTTAATTGAGATCACCTTTAATCAATCTTTTGGGTCTCCTTGAGTATATTCCCTTGCAATTCTAAGTGCGGCGGAAAAAAAATGCAGAAAACGAATCAAAGAAAACACATGGTTAAAGCATTACGTTACACAACACAAATATTAATATATCTTTCCAAAAGCCATTTCAATTTCTATTGTTGTCACGATAACAATTAAAATGAAAGAAAAATGTTAAGGAACAGAGAGAGAAATAAAAACTAAATACATATGAACTTGATCTTTATTTAAATGTGCAAATGGAGAGAAGATATCATTAAATTTTGAGTGCATACAACTAAAACTAGAAATCGATTCACAACTTCAAATCATTTAATTATCGTCTTTGAGTTTACCTCGAATATTTGTCCTAAACCAAGTACATAGAGTAGCAAACTTTGAACCAAGTGTGCTTCTATCCTCCGAAACAAGCCTCCTAGAAACGGATCCATCTTCTTATCCTAGACAACTGAAGAAGCAAGATCCCATGACAGGGAAAAAAATCACTCCGGCCAAAACAATCTTGGTAACTAAATAGAAACCCAAAATGCAATAATAGAACCTGACAAAGCAGCTTCTAAACTGGCTGTAGTTTATAATCTATAAATGATTCAGAATAGAAACCTCATAATGAAAACATCCATATAAATGCATTGTTAACAAGGAAACAAAAGATATTTTAGAAAGAACTACAACACAGTCTATTTTAGATAAAATCCTTCTATTATATTGCTTTTAGTTTATATATAGCTCATTTTCTCTTTCCTAATTTTTTTTCCCTTTTTTTTCCTTCCATCATGAATAAAAATCTTCATTCAACCAAAATTTTCTGGACAAGACAAACAAATGATCGTGTTTACCATAAACAAAACAAAAATGTATGCAGAATATTTTATCATAGTTTATAATAGTTGAGAGAAACCCAAATCTTTCAATTGATTTTTTTTATAACTTTCTCAAGAACCAAACTATACGAACCAAAAAAAAA